AAAATGGAACAACTATAAGAAAAACAAAAAAAAACAAATAGAGAAAAAGAATTAATTAAAGAAAAAATCGATTTTTACACCATCCAAGTACATAAAAATATGATGTTGTAGAACTCTTCTGATATGCACGAGATGTTATTACATTATTCAAATAAATGACTTCAGAGAGCATCCACATAAACATAGACGTTATACTAAATTGTGAAAATATGAGAATTAATGGACACATTTTTTTAATATAGATGAAATTTCATGAACATGAATACTTCCATCAATACCACATTGTATTGATTCTATTTGTGAAGAATTATTAGATTTTTTCATTTGAATTCTAAAACAATTCAACGTTTAACATAATTCACAATGAATATTTAAATCAATACTTGTAATTAATTATTCGAGCAATTACTTGAATAAATATTGTTAATAAAAGATTAATATCAATTTTTGTATGACTATCGTAATGAGATCTATTCCTAAAACAACAAAAATTTAGTAAATATAGTTTTCTTTTGATAAATTCATTTACTTCACATTAAAAAAGATAATTAATGAAATAAGTATACTGATAAATGATACTGATAATCCAATTATTTCAATAATACGCACAGCTTGAAGAATATCTGTATAAGGCTAAATAGAAAATAAACCGTGGATACATTTATAATTCGAATTAAAAATTACATAAAAAGAAACTTTTCTTGATATATATAATTTCTTCATTGAATCCCATATATCTGGATAAATGTAGCATTCATATGAGACAGATGACCATTCTCCCATTGAAAGCCAATGTTGAGTGACAAATTCTATATAAATTATTGCAAAAATTTTCTAATGTTAAAAAACTAGAAAATACTTACTGCTTTTGTCAACCCCTGGCATAGTTAATGGTGAACATGAAATAGTAACTAAATGATTAGCACGAGTTTGTGGCCAGCAGAGATTATCAAATATACTGGGACAATATATTTCATTATTTAATGAATAATTAGATAAACTTTGACTTGTTGATGACAACATTAAAATATTAAAAAGAGCGTATCACAACCAGACCGACAATCGAGAGTGTGAGTGTGGGTGGAGGATGGCGGGTGTGGGATGGGTATGAGTGGGTGTGGTTGTGCGTGTGGACGCGGGTGTGGGTGTGGATGGAGGGATCATTTCCTTCTCAACCACACGCACACCCCACACTAGGGGTGTCATATTCCACTTACCATCACTGGTAAGTGGCAAGTGGTATAGATTACTACGCAAGAATGAAAATTTATAATTAAAATAATCATTTATTAGTTCTATATCGATAATTTTTCGATAATTACAACACTTACCACTTACATGGTAAGTGGAGGTGGTGGTAAGTGGTATGTGTGACACTCCTTTATAAGGAGGCCACTTCTAGATGGATGTTACCAAGTGATAGGCCACCTCAAATATTCCAACCTAAGCGACTAAAAGAAAAACACGTGATGATCTACTTAGGTATGCACCAGGCTTATGAATGAATCATTCAAAGTGATTCATCGCTATTGAGCTGACAGAGTGTGGGTGTGGGTGTGGGTATCGTTGGAGAGGAAACAATGGTCGCAACCGCGCCCATACCCACACCCCACACCCACCAACACTCACACCCACACCCGTTTTAAGCAGCTGATTTAGTTTAGAAATATGTTATACTTCAGATTATTGTATACACACGAAATGATTCCACCTAAACATGAACACACGATGTGTTTTTTGTACCATATTGTGTACGGGTTACTCTTGTTCACAATGTAGTCAAATGAATCGTGGTCTAAAGTTTACACGATTGCTTCAACTTTTGGAAAAATGCTCTGAAAGTATCATGTATCATGACGAAATCAACTATGTTGTGCAGCGAATTCGACAAGTGAGTTTATTAGATTAATGATTAAATTATAAGCAAAACATTGTAGATCGAACCAGTTCTGATGCCACTTCAATTTCATCCCACTCAAGTTTTCGATGAGATAAAACACATCGTAGATGTGGTAGCTAAGAAATACTTTGAAAAAACGACTGGTGATGTACATCATCGTGTTTCGGTCGAAGTCATTGCTGATGGAAACTGTTTATACCATTCTATTGTTCTTCTAATGAATGGTCCAACGGTAGCCGCAAGTGAATTGCGAGGTATACAGCGTTATCTTTCATTTATGGCATTCTACAATTACTTTTGAAACAATGTTTAGTTCGAACGATTATTGAACTTGTAACAAATGAAACTTATTATGAAACTATGTATTCACAATTTGTTGGACCTATTGATATTGCGATCGAAGCTATTTGCAAAAATTATACGTTTTCTGAATTATACGAAACTGCTCCACTATGCAGTGTACTTCGATGTAATATACGAAGTATCTATCCACAAATTGACTTTCAACAATATATGGCAATCTGGGATAACATTTTTACACATGCTTCACCGATCATTGCTAGTTATGACATTTGTGGTCACCCGTCTTGGACGAAAAAGATGCTCGAGTGACAAATAATGGCACATGAAGCCCCAATCATTTTGTTCCACTTATGTCTCCAGCTATTCTTAATCAATTTAACAATAGCAATGAATCAACGTCACTCTCTATGGTAAATTATTCATCGGCAAATGGCAATTCGAGAATTTTAAAATCTTTTTAGACTCCTGAAAAGAAAACATTTAAGCATAACGCTGTTACTCAGATAAGAATTCTTGAATTTCAATCTTCTCCTAGTAGACGTTTACCAAGTAAAGACAACATCGGAAATGACCCCGCTCAATCAATTATTTCAGGTTCAATGCAAAAAGAAAAGAATGAAACAGAAGAACAACACCAGATTCGCCTCGAACGCCAAAAGAAGCGGAATCAACTGAATAGAGCTAAAAAGAAACTTGAAAAAAAGACACCTGACAAGAGTAATATTCAACAGCAAAGTACTGATATGCAGCCTAATGAAACAGAACAGTGCACATCGTATGACAGCATTGGCGGCGCAGGATTTTTTGGATATGTTGTATCTCCGTTTCAGAGCATGGGACCCAGATGAAACTCATGGAGGGTGATATTGAGCCTAAATGCTGAGTTTTATTCAAAAAATTTTTGCGATCGAAGTTTGCGAAAAAATTTTTAAAAATCTTATTGCTACCCCTAAAAATTTTTTTGCTTTTTTGTAGTATTCCATTTTTTTAAATTCAATCGTAATCTACATCGAATTTCATCGACAGACTTCAAATTTCACCTAAAAATATGCATCTGTTTAGGAGTTATAACATTTTGAATTTTTGTGAAAATTGTCGAGCCATCTCTCAAAGATTCAAAATGTCATAACTCCTGAACGGATGCATATTTTTAGGTGAAATTTGAAGTCTGTCGATGAAATTCGATGTAGATTACGATTGAATTTAAAAAAATGGAATACTACAAAAAAGCAAAAAAATTTTTAGGGGTAGCAATAAGATTTTTAAAAATTTTTTCGCAAACTTCGATCGCAAAAATTTTTTGAATAAAACTCAGCATTTAGGCTCAATATCACCTTCCATAAATTTCATCTGGATCCCATGCTCTGAAACTGAGATTCAGCGTATACAAAAACTCTGCGCCGCCCATGTATGACAGCAGCAGTATAGATGGCTTGAAGAGAAACACCATGAACCACAGTGTTGCGGGACCAGTGAATAACCGTACAAGGATATTCCTGTACGCTAAGTAAAAATTGTCGTGAAAGTTCAGTGGATTTGGGAGAGAAAGTAGATAATGGTAATCGAAGTTTTGAAGATGCATCGTTATTGGTTGGAGTGTGTAGGGATCAAGGATGATCCAGTGGTAAAGAAAAAGTTGTACGACGAGTTGTAAAGAGAGTTTTTAATTCAAGTAAAACAGTATAAAAGTATTGTAAGCTTTCGGACACTTATGTTCATAAAGTTATCCTTCGAGATGAGAAGAGTTATCAGATGCGTCTGATAAGTATACAGAGTTTCTGCTGAGAATCGGTACAAACAGTGTCTAGTTGTGGTCGGACAGAATCCATCGTTTATTGCAATTGATAAATAGAATTCGCGTGTTGTGCCAAGGTGAAAGATATGTGTTTGACAACATCGTCGATTGTAACTTTAGATTCAGTCATAATATTAAGTGACCTACAGTAGAAAGGAAGTCAAGAGATAAAAATTCGTTAAAAAAAGAACAGTTTAGAGTGCCAGAGGCGCCAAGTTTAACAACTATTTGACAGAAGAAGTATTAATCCCAATGAAGTTATGCTTAATTTCCTTGATTCATATCAGCAATTCTTCCTCTTTTTCATGCATCAACACATGTGTTTATACGCGACGAGGATAGAATAAAAGAAGGGAGAACGAAAAGAGAAGACAAAGAGAGAGAGAGGTGATTTAGCGATACATAGTACAACAGAAGGAATGACAAAGGAAAGTTAAACATCATGCATGAGCAGTCAATTTATTGAGCAGAGATTATCATGTTTGCCTTTATTCTTAATTTCGCATTTGTCCAATATCATCAAAGAATACATAATGTTTTTTCCATGTTGACTTCAACTTATATTGTTGAGAAACCTTTGTAACCTCGAATATATCCTACTATCTTGTTTTATTAAACGTCTACGACTCGACAGTTTTTGAAAATCTTGATAATAACTTGTAAATTTTCTGAAATTAGTATGTTTCTTTGAAATTGAAACATTCGTTTTTTAAGAATATATTAAAATGAATGCTGACAAAGCAGTAGTGAGAGGCATTCCTGATTTAAAATTCATTATAATGATAAAAATTGAAGTAAAGTTGCAAAAAAATGTTATATTTTATTTTATCATATTGAAAAACTGCAAATCTTTGTGACTCTCTCTCCTCTAATACCGAGCAACTGAAGAAGGCACAATAGACTATTCTGAAACTTTCCAGAATCTTTCTAAACATTCTTCTAGTAGGTATCAATCGGTAAAGCAATAGTATTATTGATGAAATATTTGTTGCGCTCGCTATGACATCTATTGTATATATTATCATTAGAAGAAAACAATAGTAGAATAATAATTCGAAGTAGAAACATTTTCGAAGGGATAATATTTCAGAGCGTACATATCAACTATAAAAATTGATATAATTTTCCTTGATTCATTTACTTGGTATATTAGCCTCTCGTCGGGTGGCACTGATAAGTTTTATATTACAAACAAAAATGATTTATGTTTAAAGATTATTGATAAACTTTGTCTCAAACAATAGAAACTTACAGTTTTCTCTTTTAAATAAAAATAAAAGGGTTGTATTGAGGTCCATCGATAATGAAATTGCTTGCATTTAAGAGATCATCATGACTTTGAAGAGATTTCGTAATAATGATTTGATAAGAAAGATTAATAAATTATCGAAAAACGAAAAATACTCATTCGACTTCAGTAAGATTTTATCAACTAATATTGTTTATGTCTTCAGATTGACGAAGTCTTGACATATTTTCACTTAATTTTATTAATATTAAAAATGCATGCAATCAATATTAGTAATTTTATGTAAAAGAGGGTATCATTGTAAATATGAATATTATAATATAAACGACGATGATCATAACAACAAACTTGTATGAATATTGACTATAGAAAGAGATTTAAAAAGTTGAAATAATCCATTTTTCTGGTAGTATCATCATGTACATGATTGAAATATTACTTTTTTATAATGTTCTTTGGTTAATCCTGGGATTGAGCTTTTGAACATTCATCTGTTACTTAATGAACGACGTTGTCTTTCAATAAAAATTCTGTTACTTTTGGTTGATTGAGGAAAAAAAATCGAATTTCTGGTATATCTAACAATATTTTTATTAGAGATATTATTAAACATGAATATTAGAATACTTACTGTTATGTTCTTTGTTTGTCAACCCATTATTCGCTGGAATAATGAACCTCTAAAACAAAAATAATATTCAAATGGTTCTGCATTTTAAATGTATGTCATTCACTCAAGAAATTCATTGAATGTAGTGAATCGAAAATACCGTGTTGTCTTGTGAAACACGATCTAAAAAGATTATTGAAGTATACGATGACAGATTTGGATCCGTCCATCATAGACCGCATATTATTAATAGCATCTTGTTCTTGTAAATGAACTACGTCGTAGTTGCATTTATGGTAAATTCAGTAAAAAAAAACATAGTGAAGAAATGTGTCTCAAAACAGATAGAATCAAAAAAAAAATTTCTCTATGATTAGCAATATCGTGTTTCACATTTTAATCCTATAGAGATTGTGCTAACAACTTCTGTTAAAATCAGTTTTATTATAGAAGAATTTAGAATTATTAAGAAGTTATATAAATTAAAACGCTTACTGTTAGAAATAGTGAGACTGTTTTTCTAATCAGAAAACATAAACATATATTCAGAAATTTCAAATAACAATATTGACAATTTCTTCTATGCACCTTAATTGCTGATGTTATCATCTGGTGTTTAAAATTGAAACAAATTCAGCATCACATTTTTCCTTTTCACAACACTTAATGTTTGTTGATTTGAGAATCGTGTAGAATTTTACTTAGGTCATATCTAGTCATTTATCTATACCGAATGATTGAGTAAAGAGTCCACTACTTTGTAACATCCATGGTTAAAATTAAATCAGATGCCTAAATGTCATTAATCAAGTAAGCCTAAGTAACATCATATGAGCCAATCATATTAATCATTTAACGATAGACTTTGTAAAATTATGTGTGTATGTTTCCTCGCTGAAGGGCAATATGAATGCAATTACTATCTGTTTCGATGTTTGATCGATAAAAATGTACATGTGTGTAATGTTCATTCAACCGAATCGAGTCGTATCGAACGAATGCATAAGTAATGAAACTTTTATTATATGTAACGGACGAATGAACAAGTATAATATTATTTTATTTTTTGTATTTTGTTTTTATTGATTAATTTACAAAAAAAAAAAATTTGTCAATTAAATTTCAAATTTTCCTATTAGTTATTTCTTCTTCATTGAAATTCACACGTTGAACGCAAAAACAAAAATACTTTACAAAACATTAAATGTTTGAAATAAATAAAATATGTATGGATATCAAAGGACTTCATAATAATAAGCTTGATTCAGTTCTAATGAGTTTTATTTTAATGTAAAGACTTCAGGAGAAGAAAAATTTTGTTTTTATATAAAAAGATAGATGAAAAGATCGTCATTCAAATTGAACCTTGAGTAGATTGCAGTTGCTCAGTAGTACAAAAGCTGACTTATTTGTTCATTAAAAATACGTAGCATTGATTATTCACAGCAGTTTGGCGTAATTTAATCATATTCTAATCAAAATTAAAGTATTTTTAACTGCCGATCAAATTTAAATTCTTTGGAGAGAATCGATTTTATAGAAAGTCGATCAAACTACCATTAGGAAAATTGATGAAAAGAATTAGGAGAAAATTTTCTTTGAGCCATGCTTTTCACATTTTTCGAATAATATATGTATGTTCGTTTAGGTCCATATAAGTTCATAAGAATATAAAATTCTTATACTAAACAGCAATAAAAACTAAAAAAAATAAAAATAAATGTATCTTGTAATCGAAAATATTGACTTACGTACTCTGTGTTGCTTATTTTACAATCTAATAATATTCAATAGACACGCTGGAGTCAAATTCAATTTCTTTACAAAACAAAAACAAAAAAGAAATAATCAATATTATTGAAGATTCTCGAGAGGAAACAAAATTTGATATAACAATTGAAAAAATGTGTAACAATAAAATCTCGATACGAACAGCATAGAACAGTGTTTATGAAAATGAAAATAAAAACAATATTCTATCATCTGTCTAATAAACAAATAGAAATTTGAAAGAAAAACATTGATTTTTGTAATAAGATTATTCATGTAAACATATCTTTCATGAAGTCTTTGTTATCTGATAGTTTATATGTATATAAGATTTAGATCAGAGATTAGTTATATAAAATGAATACCTTATGAAATATTATTACAATTAACTTCATTGTGATTAAATTTTCTTGAGTGTTAAAAATTAGTTAGTTTCATAAATGATATTGGATGTTTTTTTTTAAATTGATATGCGCGTTGAAATTTTTCTATTGAGCCACTTGGGCTGGAGTGTTCAAACTAGATAAGCTACTTCTTGAGAATATATGAAATTGATGAAAAAAAAAAGAAAAACATAGAAAAAATATGCATTTATAATTGAAAAACAACAACTTACTGGAGAGACGTAATTTTCATACGGATTAGTAGTATTTGTAGTAAAATAAAATCTATACAAATTGTCTATTGAATATAGTAACTGGCTGCAGTTGTCTATGTTTTTAGTCTTTTGTCATGTGTTTGTATGAATCAACGAATCTAGTTATTTATTGACGCGCATAAAAAAAAAAAAGTAAAAGAACAGAAAGAAAAAGATATGTATGTGATGGTTATAAGAGCAATATCGATCGATTCAAAATATATTGCTATATAGGTGAAGGTTGGGTTATAAACAATTTTAATTATAAATTTTGACAGTATACATTAAAACATATCGAAAAGTATGTCCACTAACGACAAGTACGACTACTTTTTCGAAAACTTAACGTCAAAATAGAATGGCAGGTCGAAAACACTAGCAACTTACTAAATTTGACTAACAAATCAATCAGATTTAAAAGAAGAAAACAAATTTTTTTTCGTTCTCGTCTACGAAACTATGTTTTGACTGACAATTTTCCAAAGTTATTTCTTAGTTAGATAAAACTAAGGAAGTTTTTTTTTGTGTATAGTTTAATTATAATAGACGCAGCTTACGTTTGTTTTTTGTTCGATAAAAATATCAAAGTTATAGACTTTATTACTTCATTTTCGTCTGAGTTTATCATGCTTTATGTTATAAAGCATCTTTTCAATGTCTATCATAGCTACTCGACTAGAACAAAAAAATATTTTTCTAATATTATTATTGACTTTGATTTAATTATAATAGATTTTTTTGGAATATTATTTCTAGAATACTAAACAAAACTATAAGAATTGTATAATGATTTTATCATCTTCAATTCATCGCACAAATTTTTAATAAACTTTGAAATACAATTGAAAATCATGTAGAATTAGCATGCATTCTAGCAGCAACTACATTATTCCTTTATTAAACCTTGTTGTAATGTGTCTTTTCTCATTCACACTAGTAAACAAAGGTATAAGAATCTACGTTTTCTATCATTGTCTGTTCTCTATGACTTTTCTACTATTTTGCTATGTGGTATGTAATGGTTGTCATCATGCAGAGCAAAAGTAAAAAATGTACGTGGTCTAAACTTCTCATCATCACAATAGCACGTTTTATTACTTGGTAGAGTCAGTGGTGCTCTATTCATCTCAAAGTAAATTCGTGCGAACTATATTAAATTTGATTCCGATTCTGCATTCATGAAATCCTTTGTAATTGAAAAAGTATGTGAAAAAAAAACTATATTGTCTCCTTCTATAACTTGTTCATCTTTATTATTGAATGATTTACATATATTATTTTTTGCGAGTCGATTATTTTATGACTATGCCATGATTAAGATTGTTCGCCATAATACAAATTTTGCTGCATGCAGATATTTAATTCAAGAAAGACTGGTAAAATGGTATCGAATTCAATCGAATATACAATGGATTCTTGACATAATCGTACGGAATGTATCATGTTTTTCTCTTTCAACCAGATTTTCTTTTTCGATAATGAGCTATCCGAGATTCGATATTTTTCTATGTTGTGAAAAAAAAAGTTCGAATTGATGCGACCTATATTTCCAATGAATGAGAGATGGTATTTGAAATGACAATAATTTCAATCTGTTTATTCGAATTTCATTCATATTTTCCATTATGAACAACAAAGTAATTGCGGACGATCATAAGCGCACTTTCATTATTGCCATTGGCGCAATTGATTTCAAGAGGTTGATTGACGATACCAATCGTTCTTCGATATCTTATTTCCAAGCTTTGCATCGATTTCCATGGAGCTAGTTTAACTGATTGACTATGTTGAAGGTATGGGTATTTAGATGTGAATGGGAATATGAATATAGATGTAAGTGAGAGTATGTGTAGTACAATCACACACACTCGTATTTCATATACGGAAAGAGAACGACTTGTTTGACGAACTGTACTACCAGACGAATGAGTGCGTTACCATTTTAATGTTTTTTTCTCCTCTCATAAGTTTTGAACAGTTTACTAGAAAAACGTGAGTGATATATTATTTTGTTTCTTAAATTATGCTTTACAAAATAAACTTCTTATTGTTTGTAGGAGCTAGTTAGGTACAAAAGGGACAATGTTTATTTTGTAAAGCATAATTAAAGAAACAACATACGATTTTGCTCATGCTTTCCTAGTAAACTGTTCAAATTTTTTGAGAAGAACAAAAAAATACATTGAAATGGTAATACATTCACTCTTCTAGCGCTTGAGTTAGCAGAACAAGTCGGAAATAGTTACAAAATATATCGCCAAGCTGCATGCCTATCACCTAAATTACGAATCTGTTCTTCAGTCATTTTCTCATAGCCCCATTGTCGTCTATCTTCCATAGTATATATTTTAAATATATCCGTTGTCACTTGATCTTTATTGATGACTGATGGCGTTGCCGTACTATCAATCGATCCATATAAACGATCACGTCGTCGGTTTTCCATATGAAGACCAATTAAAAGAATAGTCAAGGCAATCAAACTCATTGTACAAAACCCAAGGTTGATTGCATGACCGAGAATATAATGAGGTGCATCTTGCGATCTATATAATTGTCCGCTAATAACTCCACCGATACTTCCGACCGATAGCATAAATGCCAGTGCCGTAGCTCGTTTTGTATGTGGACTAATATTACACGAAAGAAATGTGATACATGTAGCAACACAAGGTGATATGCCACCAGTCGCGAGAAAAACAGCAAAATATTTCACATTCAAATTTTGCGCTATAATTAAGATAACAAAACCTGTCATACTAATTGCTAACCATGATAGAATAAACATAGAACGATGGGCATATTTATCTGAAAAATAAGCTGTAGTCATTGTTGTAATGAATGCAAATGCATATGGTGGTGTTGTGAGAAGTTGAGCTTGATAAGTGACGAATCCAAGACTTAGTACAATAGTTGGGGAGAATAGCGAAAGAGAAAAGATTGATACCGACATACCAAGAAAACATAACGACCAAATGTAGATTTTCCAGTCGGAAAATACCGAACGAACTTGAACCCAACTAAAATGTTCACTAGCACCTGGTCCAGCATCAGTACGTAGACGAACAAGTACATGATTGCATTCTTGTTCGCTGAGAAACTTGGGTCGATCTGTAGGGAAATCATTAATGAGAAAGAAGGCAAGTAATCCAACAACAACAGTAACCAGTCCTTCTACATAAAAAATCCAACGCCAACCTTCTTGTTTACCTAATCCATCCATTTTATTAATGCCATAGGCGAGAATTCCACCAAAAGCACCAGCTAATGCAGCTGCAGAGAAAAGAATACTGATACGCCATGAAAGTTCACGTCTCTTATACCAACTTGACAGATAAAAGGTAGCACCTGAAACAAAAAGAAACAGTACAATTTTGACTTTTAAAATTGATCAACAGATACCTGGAAAGAGACCTGATTCAGTTGCCCCCAATAGAAGTCGACAAATTAGAAGACTATGGTAAGATTTGACAAGTCCCATACAAGTCATGACAGTTCCCCATGCAACCATAGTAAAAGGAATCCATCGACTTGGTCGACACTTTTTTAAAATCAAATTTGATGGAATTTCAAAGACGACATACGTTATAAAAAATACACTCAGACATGTGTTATATTCGATACTCGAAAGATTTAGCGATATTGTGAGACCATTCAATTTGGCTTGACCAATATTGACTCGATCGAGAAAACTAAGTAAATAAAGTAAGGTCATTGTCGGAATAAGATGAAGATCCAATTTGCGAAGAATTTTCTCATCATCTGGCTCGTTCATTATTCCACTATTGGGTTGATTATTGTCATTAGCTAGGCTCACTTGATTTTCAATGCCCATCGATTCTAGACCTAGTAGTATAGCATTTTTTGTGCTACTATTAGACTTGATCATATCAGGTTACAGTTACTGTCTTCAAGAGTTTAAACACTTTTGTAAAGAGATGTTTGTCTAGAAAGAGAAGAGCAGACCAGTATCACAAGTATGAATATGAAGAAAGGAAAATTATTGGCACAGAAAATTGTTGATATTATATTATATTGAAAACTCAAAAATGAGAAACTTTGAACTGTATTCGATGAAACTTGCGTAACAAATTTCTCTTTTCCTATCAGTATGACAAGTTATTTCAGATCTTAATATCCTTTCAGCAAAACATTGAGACGAATTTTTCTAGGTTTTATGCCAAATCGTATGGATGGTTGTGTGAGTGTAGAGTATTGGTATCGATCTTGTGTGAGAGAGAGAGAGTAGATGTTTGTGTTCTTTGTATCAACGCAACACATTTCAACTGACACTAAAAAGACAAATTAAAATACACGCTTTAAAATGGTGCTGAATTGTGGATCTCAGATCTGTTCATGTCCACAATTTACAAGTCATAGAGTATGATAAGAAAACATGTTTTTCTTTTCTTAATTAATAGTTAAATATGATCTTCTACATCAAGATTATGAAATTTCGTATGAATTCTTAAGTTGTTATTATTATTATACGCGTAAACTCTTATTTGTGTTATTGCTTCTTTCTAACTAAAATGACAATGAGAAGAGACCCTGAAAATTAAGGATGATGTTTGTAGTTGACAGCATATTTAATACATCCCTGCTTTTATATATTTCATCATACTTTGTGTACAATTTTGCTATTTTGTTTGCTTCATATCAAAGTGTAGATCGAGTACTTCTCTGGAGTATAAAGATTTTTACGTTTTTAAATTTTAAAGTAAATAAGAAATAATTTACTTGAAAAATCATTTTAAAATCTTTGTTGGATCTTCAAAATGAATTCTATCGATTTGCATTTAAGAATTTTTTTATTCTGTCTTCTATGATAGATTTTATTCATGGTAAAATTTGAAGAAGTCCGAGTAAAATTCTATAGAATAGTATCTTTAAATGTTTATGGACATGTAAAGGTTGATTACTTGATAAAATAGTTCAATCAGCTAAGCAGTCGATCAGTGGTATATTATAGTAAGCATGTTCTAATCTAGCTTTATTCCTAATGGTTCGATCATTTGGACCTACGTTCGATAGCTTGCTAAGAAACAAAATAATACAAATAATTGAAATATTCAAATTTTCTCTTACATACCGATAGTCTTCTGCTTTCAGTGCTTTATCACTATCGCGTCCATACACCTAACAACATTTGAATTTCTTCATACCATCGACACTATGAAGAACAAGAAAAAAAATGAAAATAACAGCAGAATTTATTTCTCAAGTATTTTTAACATATAGTGTTGGTACCTGGCTTATTAATACCACAAAGACAATCTGATATTTCAGATAATGTTAATTACAAAACGTGATAGGGCACTCGAATCATATTACGAATTCATAGGTTTCATTCTGTAACAAATTAAAACATCTCCATCTAGTCATTTGTGCATATTAGAAAATGACCTTATACTAGGTTTTAATACCCTAAAAAAACACAATAGTACTTCGTTGTAAATACTCCAGACGCGTGTCATTATTAAACAGATTTTTGAAATCGATTTTCTAAGATGTCTACAGTAATGATTTGACGAAGGCGCATAAAACGTTATATGGATTCACTACAAATTTTATAACTGATCCAAGTGAATTATGTATAGAATGAAATCATAAGTATACGTCGATATTTTAATATTAAATTTATGTATGTACTATTGAACTGAGCATCTATGGAAAATAATTCGTACAAAATAACTTTTCAACACTAACTTTTTGAAAAAAATACTATTTTTTTTGCTTTTAAACTCATATTCTAACATTCTTTTACTGAAGAAAGTCATTCTTTTTATAAACAGGTTAAATTAATATTGGCATTCGTATTTTGAATAAGAAAAAATCTTTTATGAAGTAAGAGTTTACTAACACTTCAACAAATACCTCACAGTTGAATATTACGATAGAAAGAAATGCTTGTTTGTAATAAAAAGAAAAAGTGCATACATGAATTAAAACAAGTTTAACTTCACTAAAAACACGTCTTCGTCAAATTGTAAAAGTTGCATATAAGTCGATAACGGAATAACAACTCATTTGCATTATTTCCATTGAATGGTTAATCATACAGCATTTTTTTCAAACTTTTAACAAAATTTCTAGTGTGATTCATAGCTAGAACATCATTTTTGTAATATTTTCAATTCATTCAAAGACATAAGATCTTAAAAGAGTAAAGATAGCGAGAGCCTGTCTATCACCGTCTCTTCTTTTTTTCCTCTAATTGTTTTTTTTTCTATAAACTGTCGAGAAGTGTCAGTTATACGGTACTATAAATCAACTATCTTCTGTTCCTCCAACAATCAATTTGCTTTATTGTGGAAATATTTATCTCTAATTGATGAACTTATGATATTCCAATATAGTTAAATTGAAGAAAATAAAAATATATATATAGTATTTTCATTGGATAAATATTTTTATACGAAAATATTGTTTTTTTTTCTGTTTCGAGATTTTAGTGTAGTTCATTCGATGATACTTTTCAAGAGTTACAAAGCTATCGATTTTTTGCACATGGTTTTTTTCGTCGAAAAATTTATTTCTCGCCCTCTCAGCGCTCAGTTAAGTAATCAAGCCAATGAAAATGATGCTATTGTTGTTTAGATATCTACCATTTTGTAATCGAATAATTGTCACAACTTTTGTAATATAAACAAGTCTTGTAAATGTATGTTCAGTACGATTTGAAATTAGAGTGCAATAGACTGGAAACTGTTGAGTATTTACATGATGAAAACGATTGAGTGCAGTGAACATATAGAAATTTATAAGAATGTTAGTTACGCTTTTTATTCTTGCATAAGAAATGAATTTGACAGCCAGTATTTAGAACTATAGAAAAGAAACCCATTCAGTCGACCGAAGTATTGTACAGTCAGACTATTTTTCATTATAACGATTCTATTACTATTTCATCTCTTGCAATTATCATTCAACATACTTGAAATGATCTCTACTGAAATAATAGTTAGAACTACAGGATATTTTTTATTTTTAATAATTCTTATGCAAGCAAACTAAGCGACACTAAAAACTATACGAGTGTCTATTATTTGTTTATGCATTGAAAAACTTTCGTATAAATTCATCAGTGTTACAATCGTCGCTATTTTCGAATGCTTTATCGAAAAATTTGAATTTCTTTGTTGTTCCATCAATCTGGCAAACTATCCAAAAGTTCGCATCTGGTTGATTAACATATGGAACTCGAACAACTGTAAAGGGAAAATCCGAGTTTGAATCTTCGTTGGTACTGATAGTAACAGTAGCATCGGATTTTGCTAGTTCTCCATCTTTGCTATATCTATGAACGGCATAAGCATATTTCATATTTGGTTCAAGTTTCACTTTAATAGTTTCGGGCCCACCACCTTCTCTACAGTCGTAATCGAGAGACACGTTTGGTTCTTGTTTTCGTGAGAAAAATACATGCCGTCCATCCGAAACATACACATGAGAATCGAGATCACTTAGTTGTTCACCCCATGTTAGCAAGAATTCAACTTCATCACTCTGCATTTGTCGATAGATAAAATAAGTAACCGATTCTGCCCCTCTATTTTGAAATACGATTCGTTGAAATTTTGCAATTTTATACTGAGCTTTATGTGTATTAATCACGACATCATAACAATTATTCGATAGATTTCGAGGTAGATTCACAATACCGACTTTATCACTCGTGCCGGTAAAAACAACTTGGTCATTCAAGAGAAGTTGAACTGTAGTGTCAGCAATGACATTATTAATCGAATCATGAATGATATATTGCTTTGGCATGCAAATGTCACCTTTGGGTTCAATATGAATCGTCCATGTACCAATAACAGTTTTTGAATTCGGATAATAGATCGTCAATTGATATTGTCCATAATTGTAAAAATTGAATTGATCAGTAGTAATGCTTGCTTCAATAATGATTCTCTCATTTGCCGTGTAATAAACAACTGAAAACGATACACCACTACATCCTTTAGGACCAATGAATGTAGTTGGAAGTGAGATCATGCCTGTGGTAACCTTAACACTTTCTGCCCATTGCAAGACAGACGATGCTTTGGAATCAATCGCAGAAAAATCAGCAGTGGACGAGTTCGACCATACTAGAGCAATTTCACGTGTTTTTGTGACTGTTGCAGTAGATACACCTTCAATAATTCAAATGTAGATGAGATGACAAAAAGTAATGAAATGGTTTTGATTGTTAAAGTTCACAGATTGCAGACTGATCTCGTGTTAAATCTATTTCGAATATTCAACTTTTTTGAGAACATTCTCAGATAAACTTTCTCTAAAGCAAATGGCTTTCAATGAAATTTGTACTCAGTTGAAGAATGTTTCAAAATTGTGCAAGTTTCCTTAGAACAATAAAAATTCTTTTCCTAGAATAAAGATTTGATCTGGAAAGAGTTTTCATTCCTTGTTCTTTCGAAAAATTTAAGTATTATCAGATGTTTTTCTACGTAAGGCATGACCAACATACTTTGGGAAACTTATAAAATAGAAATACTGTAATATCTTTGCCAAGAGTATATGACTCATTATTCGCATAGCGAAATGTACTCTTGGAATTCAGAAGTCAATATAATACTACGCGAAAATAGTTTTACTCTGTTCTAGAAATACTCTTGTAAGCATCATTATGAAGACCGACGAAGTCTGTGAACGCATAACAGACCTACAGTGATAATGGGCTTTCTTTCCATTATTCAGACCTCTTTATGCTACGAAAAGCTAATGATGCTAATATCAAGAGTGATCACTATGAATTCTTCTTCTACTAAATGACTTCATTGTTACTTTCATTGCTACATCACTACTTCTTTTGTTTCTGAACACCTGAAGAATTAGGTTGATAATGTTGATATTTTCAGTCGATACTTGTCAGATACCGGAGTCGAAGATCTCCATCGGTGTGGGTTGTGGGTGAAGATTGATTGGATCCCCTTGTGGTAAACATCACAGGTTATCGAAGAATCCGTATAAATGAATTCTAGGCTGACATTCGGTCTACAAATAGGTCTAGTAATGCTAAGAACGCCACGAAACCTTCAATTAAAATGAGCGTTTTTTTTCTGCAGAATATTCAACTTTCAAAAAACGTCCTGTTCTTTTTTTGGCTGGACTATTCTTATGAATCTGTATATAAATACTAAATATGAGTTCAAAAGCAATGTGACACACCTTCTAACAATCGTCGGTAAGTATTTATTTCGAATTGAAGCGAAACATTATTTTCATGTACACTTGAAATTGCTGCTTTACGCCCATTGAACTCAGCTAACAGCATGGCAACCTCTTGTTCCAATAAGCTTGTCGACTGAAATCCATGGTATCGTATTCTTTCAAGTTCTTCTTCGAGTTCTTGCGTACGATTAACCAAAGTCGAGTTTTCTGTTTGCAATGTAGCATAAGAACTTCGGCTTTCTTCTAATGCTGATTTAATTGTTTTCAAATCCATTATTCCCACATCACTTGAACGACTTCCTTCTGCCTTTTTACGTTTTTGCTCAACAATTTCTTTCTGAACTTCTTCAGTTTTGGTCATGTAGTAGACTGTAAAACAAAAATAAAGTTCAATTTTCTGAAAGAAAAAATATTTTCGAAACTTAATATGTTAGGATGAATTAAATAATAACCCAAATTCGTTTTGGATGTTTTGACATGCAGAGTTATTAAAAACGAAGATTAGAATTGAACCTTGGATCTTCATTTATCAAAAATATTTGACCATTCACAATCACAATAATATGTACTATTTTGAGTTGTGTTTGTTCTCATGGAAATTTCTTAAAAATTCTGACTTTCTTTCAAGTAAATCTCGTTCTATTCACGCGACTTTATAAAAATAGGGTTCAACATCTTCGGATTTCAACACGTTTTTTTTGGTGTAGAATTGACAGCTACAGTGTAATTATATGAGTACAGCATTGAGGTCTAACTAATATACTGGTTGTCAGCTATTTGTTGCTTAATTCTTTATCTAACTCCATCATGCAAACTTATTATTTGTAGATATTACTTTCATAAAACATTTGTAAGAAATGTATGATGAACTATAGATCCTAAGATCTCCTATCAAAGATGCATATTAAAATCAAAATTTCAGCGAAATCGCAAACTATTTTCAAACACTTGTTCATGTGTTTTGCTGAAGCCATTGTTTTCAAGATGATTTTTGTTTTATACGCATTATCAAAACGAATAAAAACGTTCTCAAATCTTCTCTTTCGAGTGCTTAAAACTACAGATCACTAGCTGCTAATATTCTCGACTTATTCATTATCAACTGGGTACTTTTAAGTCTCATGCTGACACTAGTAAATAGAGCCGTGTGTTTATTGATGAAGTTAGCAAAAATGATTAGAGCTGAGTTGTTAAATGTTTACATTTCAGCTAATCAGAATGTTCTTTCTTCTTCTTACCTTCCCATTCCTGATATCGTGCACGTGCAAGTGTTTCAAAATCTTTCTTTATATTAGCAATTGCTCGAGCTAGTTCATCACGGTAGAATTGGCCAACATCAATTTGGAATGGACCATGTAAAGCCAATTCATTATACTCTTCTTCCTGAATAGCTCTCATAAAGATTAATTCTTCTTGAAACGTTTGCAGTTCAATCTCGAGCACAATTCGGAGCATCAATTCATCATCAAGCTCTTTTTTCAAAACTTCTAAATAGTCTAATTGTTTCTGCATATCACTTTTGCTTCGTTCAATCTCCTGTTTCTTATTATCAACTTGATTGAACAATGCGCTGAGCTCTACTTTGCTTCGTTCAAGTTCTTGTTCGGAGAACGAAGCATGTTGATGACCAATAATGTGAAACGAGTTTATAAAAGAAATTTGATGTTCAGTCGATGATCTGTCATATTCGGCTCGTATGGCTTGTATTTGAGCTAATTGCATGTCGCGTGTAGTCGTGTCCAGTTGCTTTCGAAGCGAAATCAAATCATTATCATATTTCTCTCTAATCTTTACAGAATCAAAACCTGAGAATGAAATAGAATAAATATTAACTCGATTTCTTGAGTGTAAAAAATCTGTTTTGCAAAGAATCTACCCCAATTTTGTTTCAGAGCATCAAGTTGAATACGTAATTGACGATTTTTGTCCTCAAGATCTTTGACTCTTTTGATATACGTGACCAAATTTTCGTTGAGATATTGCAATTCACGTTTCTCATCATCGTGTTGTTGAGATATTTTTCGAATCGTAATGATGTGAGTATCATCAGTGGCCATATTGCAGTTTTTTTTTATCTCCGATGAATATAAAAAGATGACAAGAAAACTAATTGATAGCTACAATTAAACAATGACACATATCTACATTCAATCAAAATAAATACAGCTTCTTTTCACGCTTTTATATAATAAATCAATAGATTTTAGTGAAATAGTGAAAAACATGATCTGATCAACATGCAAACATAAACACGGATAGAAAGTTTGACTATCTAGGATTATTGTCACAAATGATGCAATTTACATTCAAGACGATGGGATTTCTAGAAAAATCTAAAAGTCACTATTGTATGAAAGAGACTACTAACTCTGTTCAACTGATATATTATCCTTCCAAGACACTTTACCAATATGTAGCCTTAAGAGAGATGTAAATATGAACAACATCTCTGCTTTAAAAACAGCAGTACTTCTTACTATCTACTATCGGTACATACATAGAAATCCTCTGAGGAGAGAACTGAAGTTTTTGCAGAGGAAGCTGATCAAGGAAGTCGCCCAACTAAATTAATCGTTTTTGGGTCGTAAGAATGTTTATCATGTATGCTCCAATAAGGTATGCGTACTTCGAAGAAATTTTCCTCGTAGTCAAAGATCATAAATTATCTTTTTCTATTCCTCTACGGAGAATTTTCCCTACATGGAAGCTAGAGTCATTCAGTCATTTCGAAAAAAGAAAATTTCGATAAAATGCCATCGAGTCTGAGATCATTTTCCTAGATTGGATAAAATATGGCTCGAGTTTGAGATGGAATAGGTACCAGGAATGTACCGAGCTGTAGCAGCTCGGCTCAGCCAGGCTCAATCCAGGGATGCACCAGTTGCGGTAAGTGGATGATCCAATTATGCTGGTACTTATTTAGCTGGTTCAGCAGTATTTGATTTTTGAGGTTGAGAAATTTGAGGGTCTAATCAGTTTTCTAAAATTATGGACCTAATTTCTCGGTCAAGTTACTTCTACCTCGAAAAACTTTTGACTCAGCTTTATAAAATATTGTTAGTTTCTCAAAAACATTTTCTTTAATGAAAAAAACCAAGCACATTTTTTTCTGTTATCTGGTAACGATAACTACTCATTCCTATGGAGAGAAAAGTGTGTTCTGTATGAAACTAGTAGCCACTTACAAATGCAACAGCATGAAGTCAATGAGCGGGCAAATACCATCCATACTCACCATTATTTTTCTAGCATTAAGCATATGTAATGAAATTTAAGTTGAAAAAAACAATCAAAGGCTGCTGAACTAGCTAAATGACTATCAATATCACTCAGTTATTGAAACTTATGCATCTCTTGATTAAGAGTCGGTCTGAATCTGAGTTGCTAGGTGTAGACTTGGAGCCGGTAAAAGCCTAATAGGTACAGCTGATAAAGCTCACTGTAAAAGATCTATTAGTTTTAGATCGTTATTATCGAAGTGTATAACTTTTAGTACAAAGTGCTAAGATATTTCAGATGTTGATCGTTTTGAACAGTTATACCTGAAGTCTAAACATAAGTCATATGAAACAACTAGTTTTTATTGATTTCAACCCATTGGAAATAGTCTTTACGCAAAAATCTCACAACACATATCTAGTGGTTTTTGATGCTTATTTTTCAATCGATGTGTCTGTCAACAAATTATTAGTGTATGCTCTTGTATTCATTTTTTACTCTCAAAGAAATATAATTTTATATCTTTGCTTCTAGGTAATCTGATGTATGGTAGGATGTATCGCTTATATTGTTCTGCGAGTTTATTAAAGATTGGTCACATAGATACAAGATTCAATATTGTTTCGTGGACTATACTTTTTATGTAACAGAGTTGTCTTATGAGTATTTGTCTACAAAAGATTTTCTAGCATGAGAACTAAATCTATGATTCCAATGTCTTCGTAGTCATATTTGAAGATTTTTTCATCTACGCTTGTTTCAATAGTTCGATAGGACAACATCAGTTTCTTATACTACTTTTTTCAATAAATAAAAAGCCGGCAAACATCATCAAATTCAAAATCAGAAGAAATCAACACTTAGTGCACCTTAAACTCAAAGTAACAGAGATTTAAAAATCAAAAACAAACTTTTTTTCTCATACAACACTCGAGTCTTCTAGTATGAGAGAAAGGAAACGTTACGCCATTGCTTAACAGTTCACTGTTTTCCTCTTAATCAACCTTCCACTATCCTTCCTAAACCAACTAGAAAAAGGGAGAATGCTCTCATGAAACAAATAATGGTAACATACTGTCAGCGGAGTATACTCACAAAAGAACAGTGAAGTTGATAAGAAAGGTTGAATTGTGGTTTTTTTATCTGTCTTTATATACCTTTTGTCTTGAGAGTTGTCAGTCGTCTTATATTCGAAACGCTCCCTCGTTTTTCTTTCTTTACTCTAGTAATTGCTCTTTCTTACAAATATTGGTTTTCCACTCGATAAAAGAACAAAATATTATATCGAGATGGGTACAAAAACAGAATTCAACCTTCACTTTCGATTTCTTTTCTTTCTTCGTATGTACACTGTAACAATAACGCGTTGTCAGTCTTCATTCTGTAAAAACATTCTTTTTTCTGCTTTTGTCCTTGTTAATTGTTCTCTCTGACAAGTATAGAATTTCCGATAAAGACAGGGACAAAAAAATCATGTTACAAAGAAACATAACAATATAACTTAATCCTTATTTTCGATTCCTCTTTTCTTCCGCAAATATACTCTAACAATAGCATATTGACCATTGCTCTTTGTGGGAGCATTATTTGACCTGTTTTTCTCCCACAAAGTATTCTTTTTTTTTTTTTTTACAAGAGTTGGGTTTCTATATCAGAGAAGACAAAAAATCATATAAAGATGGACATAATAAGATTATGCAACTGTCGATTTCGACTGCTCTATTTTTCTCTTCCTATACTCTAATGAGAATATGGTGCAGCTCTTCATTTCGTGAGAATATTCTTTTCTTTGGTTTTCATTGCAGTCATTGTACTCTCAGTCAAATATAGCTTTTTTCTGAAGATAAAGACAAGAACCATAAAAACTTATTCCATTGTGTTTTGCGTTCTAATCTCAAAGAGATTGTGTTTAAAACTTTGAATTCGGTTTATGAATTCCGAATTTCTTCTCAACAGTGTTTTTTATGGTTTCCTTTTTTTATGAAACTGTCATATATCGTGTTATTTGCAGTCGAGTAGGCTTTCTGCTAGTGGTTGTGGCTGTGGTTATGGGTGCGATTGTGGTTATGAATCTTCTCTTCATTTCCACCCATACTCATGCCCACATCTCGTTTTTTACAAGAACATTCTAGCATTTGTTCGAACAGTCCATCCAGACGAATGAGAAAGTGAACTTAAATAATACGGAGATGAACAAAATAGAACTGAAGTGAGAAAACATGAATAAATATACTTTTGAACGTCTATATCAACCATCGAGCAATTAAAATATATTTATGAACTTGAAATACTTTCTGAGATGAACGATGTGCCAATATCGAAATTATTCAAAACTAGACTACTTGATCCACTGAATTATTTTAAAGTGATGAAGACTCATAATATACTTTCAAGAACACTCTTGAATAAGAGTAGACAAATAAAACTCATAGAAACGGACTTTTTTATTTCAATGTCTTTATCATAAAAATTTTAATTTCTATTTGCTTCTCTGATAGAAAAATATTATCTTGAGTATGTTGTAAAACCGTCTTGCGATTCATTACAAAAAACATAGCAAATCACGCCACTGGTTGAAAATATCGATGAATGTAATATATGTGAAATAACCCACACAATGCTAAAAAAGAAAGAATGAAATAAAATATTCTCCGCCTTGATGTGCAATATATTTATTCATCTAATCTGAATAAAACCAACGAATGCAGAGAAAAGAAACACAAAGATTTCTCCATCATTACGATAAATGTAAAGGTGTCTTAACATTAACAGAGAAGATAAACCGAATCATATACTTCAGTAGATTCTATTTCATCAATATGATTTATTCATTTATGAGGAGATTAAAAAAGACTTATGAGGGAACTCCACCAACTGATTAAAAGCTTTTGGGCTCATATTTTGGCCATAAGTATGACATGATGAAACTAGAAGAACTCCAAAAGGATTTGTTCCCATAGATCTCTCTTTAGTTAAGTTACGAATGTCCTAAGTTTAAATCCAACAGCATAGATAAACTACTTCTAATGCTTGAATTACAACATTTTAACATTTCTGGAGAAGGCTTTCTGTATTCTTTTGTTTATATTCGTTCTGATGTGAGTTGCGACTCCAAATGAAATAAAAAACCACATCAGTCAAATGAAAATGAAAGATAAACTATGAATGAAGAGATATGCAAACAAAGCAACAAGTACAAGTAATTGAGAAATGCATATGACGATTTTTAAAGCACATACATGAAACAATTCTTTTGTATTAAAGTATTAATACGTCATGCTTCTTTTCTATAGCACTCAGCTCATCGGGCAAACGCAACAATATGTTTTTTTACAATAGCTTGACGTCTTAGCTATGAGTATTTCAAAAAGAAATTTTTCTTTTAAAATGTTACAGTATTGTAATTCAAGAAAAAGAAGCAGTTTATGTATGCTTCTGGTCCTAAACTTGAAACGTCCGTATCTCAACCAAATATGTCTATGGGAGAAAATCTTGTTGGAGTTCCTCTAGTGCTACCAAGACGTACTTATAGCCAGAATATGAACCCAAAAGCTTTTAATCAGTTGATGGGGTTCCTTCGTTAGTTAATTTTTCATTGTGTCATTGTTAAACTTGTTGTTTGTTTTAACAATGTTGAATTTTAATATATCCAATCTTGAATTTGTTTTACCTTCAATCTTCTCAACTTCTAATGCTTATTCATGTCGAAACAAAAATACAATAATTTCGATAACTCTCAGAAAAATCTATAGTTACAAAGAACAGCAATAGATTCTTTAATGTAACAGGAGTATCGATGATATAACAAACATCTCGTTACATTCAACAAGTGGCAAATTTCTATGGTCATACATAAGCATCAGAAACAAGCATCAAAATCGTATGACTATAGCAATGTGACGTCGCAAGTAAATCAGAATCAAATTTAAATTCAATAAGTTCTTGTTAAAATGGTGGCCATTTTACTGTGACTTTTCGTGGACGAAAAAATTTCAGTTCTCCTTTTGTATACCGTAACTCAGTAATAATTCAATGAGTCGAGCTCAAAATTTTAAGGAAGCTTTCCATTTAGTTGAAGATTATTGCCTACAAATCTCAGAAAGCAATTTTTCTTCTAAATATCAGGATGATTCTACGCTCTAATCTATGTTCTTGATGCAGAATGCGCACACAAAAATCTAGAGCTTACTGTAAAAAAAAAATCGTAGAATAATAAACGTCTCAAGGGTGCATGGAAGTGCAACATATGAAAAACCCTTTTCTAATGTTTATGAAAGACTCATAAATTCCTTGTTAGTTTTACTACTTGAAAAGGATATTTGGAAGCATTTATAACTATATGAAATAGTTAATAAGATTTATTAAAAGTATATGAAGAGAATTATTAACCTCATCAATAGGCTGAAGAGCTTAACAGCAGCATCAATAGCATTTATGAGTTGATGAAAAACTGAATAGATGAGTTCGTCGTCATCATCAACAATTCCACACATTTAAGAACATGCTCGTTATATGTAAAGTTTCATATCAATCAGCTATGGACTCTTAGGTGTACGAAATGCTGAACGAAACTGTTCTTGAGCATCATCACCGCTTCTGTTACTCTATAATCCATGGAATTCTCGTTAGGCTATCTCAGCAGACAGAGCATAGCTACTCAAAAAGAAGGAGCGAAACTAGACAAGTTCAATCTATTTTTTTTAATAAGTCCTTGAGGACATTAAAAAGTGAGGATTATATAAAATGATGGGAAAAGTAAATAAATAGAAGGAATTCTTGATGACCACCGAAGTTAAAGAATCTAACTATGAGATCTTGTACGATTCCTAGAAGACCACATCGGAACTTTCTTCGTGATCTTCTATGAGAATCCAAGATCATTGGAAAATCGTATAAGGTCTTTTAAGATCTTATATGTCAATCTTAAATTCAGCATATGTAATAAAATCACACAGTACTATTCGTCTATGATCTTGCAATACTCATCTAAGATTTTACAGAGTCTTCATATACACTCTACAGTTGAATTGTTGACTCTAGTTCCCACTCTCCTCTCAGTCTCGACTACTCAATCAATCTATTTTCTTTTCTAGATTGTATATGGGTACAGTGTATCATAAAAGGATATAAACATTTTGAAAAACCAAAAAACGTACAGCCAAGTCCCGAAATAGATCAATAGACTTTCATCTGAAGTAATGAATATATCGAACGATAGAGCTTTTTTGGCTCTGTCATGCTACATACTGAAAAGTTTGAGCAAGAGTGTATCGATAAGCTCTGATGCTCGACTGTAAAATGTTTGGTTTTCCATAATGTACACATATTTTTCGGACACTTTACATGGTTGAATTCGGCAGATAGACCAGCATAATGTTCAGTCACAGTTACGCCCAAAGCATACAACGTGAATATGATGTTCATGCATTGATATGAATCATTTTATTATTCCTGTTTTGTTATAAATTTCAGAAAGTTTTTTCAAATAAAAACCAATAGCCAATGCCTTACGTAGATAATTGGCTAGCAACGAAGTAAAATTATTAATCATTAATAAACATGTTGAAATGATGTGTATAAAACGGGAACAATTATGTCTCCTACAAGCATTTGTTGAATCATGTTAATTGCAATGAGAAAAACGAATGAAGATGCCTGTTGATTGAGTGTTAATGTTCGTGAACATCACAAATACTTGATATTATTTTTTTTAATAATGGCCTTAGTCTATAATAAAGTTTTCTTTTCAAAAGGTTTCCGACCGGTAAGTAGCGACAATAGTATCATTAGTGCTTCTTTTCAAGAAAATCATGTTACTCATCAAAGAATGATAATAATGATACTCGTCGAGACGTATTTTTGTTTATTATGTTGCGCTCCGAACTAATCATCGGGTTTCATATAATATTATCAAATATATTCTTTATCGTAAAAAGAGAAATCATGAAATTAAATACTTATCTAAATCCATGAATAACATCACTAGTATAATAAAATAAAACTCTTTCACAGGATCTAATTAAACAATTATAAAATATATATGTCTGTTAATACCATCCTTCTTATTCAAATCATTAGATCCTCTATCACTTGCCTCTTTATTATTACATATGGAAGTTTTATTTTATACTTTTTCATCATTTTAATAATAGAATAACGGTAATATTTTTTCGACAGTGATAAATTCGCTGCTGGAACCATTGACTTTTAACATAATGTTTATCTATCAATATTTTACTTACAGTTTGCGATGTGAGTTCCTTATTAAGAGCAACCGATAGATGACTATATGTATCGTTAGTAAAAGAAAGATTTTGAAAAAAAAGTTTTCAATTAGAAAAGTTGTATCTATTCATTAATTATTGTTGTTTGTTAATACTATTCCATCAATAATAATTTGCATATGAGTTCTGGGTATATTATTAGAGTAATCAAAACCTATTTTTTTATGTTTTTAACAGAACGAAAGAAATCAATAGGTATATATAGCATTTTTTTTTCTTTTTCTCTTCAGGCGGCTTCATCACATACAGCAAAAACAATTCGATTGATAGCATGCTTCAGTCAGTTGTTTTTGTCGTAGAAAAGAAACAAAAAACGAAAACAGACATAGGGAATGATAGGTTTTGTCAATGAAAAAAAAAATAAGTATGTTTTATCAGTATAATGTGATCTTCTTCTTTTTTTTTCAAGATTAGTTTTAAGCCTAGCACATACATATTGATCAAGCATGATTGATAGCAATAGTTATTTTATTGTAACTATTTTTTGTCTTCAAACACTTTATAATTGTATTCTTGCAGTTATTGGACAATATATCTATGGATATTTTTTACAAACTTATCCTGATATGTATCAAAATTGGACAATTATCAACAATTTATCTTTAAACATCAACATGCTTGAATATAATCGAGAACAATGCATAGAAAATATGACAGATATTTCAAATAGTTCTGCTCAAATATGGGCACAACAACATTCAGCTGATTTAATATTTCGAGCAACTCTATGGAGAGCATTTCCCGTCATTATTGTAACATATTTATTTGGTCTCTGTGCTTCACAATTAAATCGACAATTAGTATTAATATTTTCTTTAATTGGAAATGCTATTCATGTGATTATTTATCAAGCAATTATCTATAAAAATTTAGCTGAATATTGGTGGTATATATCAGCTTTTATTGCCGGTTTGGCAGGTGGTACAAATATTCTAGGTTATTCTCGATATGTTTTTTCAACTAATTTGATTATTCTCTCTTTCTTCGGTTTAGGTATTGTGATCAATTTAGTTATCACAGAAAGTACCGAAGAAAATGAACGATCATCACGTTTTGTACGTTACGGTGCTATGACAACGGGTTTATCAGCGTTAGCAACATATGGTATTGGTTATTATATTCAATGGCGTGGCTATACAGATCTATTATGGATGGCTCTTGGATTAGAACTATTATCAATTTTTGTTGTTATTTTCTTTTTGAAACCAACACATAGCTCAACATCAGTTGATGAAACGACAGCTCTACTATCATCATCATCATCATCGTCAAACGATGTACATGTTACGATTAAAACACCTACTATATCTAAATGTTATCATTGTTTTGATATTTGTACAATGTTTAGATTTAAACATCATTCAAAAAAGAAATCAATTAGTCTCATTATAACTATGGTCTCCTATATATTTCATTTGTTGGCATTATCATCATCGTCGATAATGCTTTGGTACCTTCTTGGTACTCCATTCTGTTGGTCATCAAAAGATCTTGGTCAATTTTCTGCTGTATCATTAATTACTACAGCTATTTTCAGTGTACTAGGTATGAAAATATTGAATTATATTGGAGCAAATGATGCTTTAATATGTGCTCTTAGTCATATTTGCTGTTATGGATATTTATTATGGATTTCATTTGTTCAATATAGTTGGCAATTGTATTTAGCATTATTGATTAATTCATTTTCGACTTATCAAAGTGTATTGACAATACCAATGATATCCAAATGGTTGGAAGTTCATGAACGTAGTCATGTTTTTACATTAGTAACAGAAGTAAATACAATTATTTCGGCTTTTGGAAGTTCATTATTCAATTGGATCTATGCTAGGACAGTAACCTATCAAAAAAATTTTACATTCTTATTTGCTAGTGGACTTTGTATTTTACCTTGTATTCTCAATATGTAAGTGTTTATTCTTTTGTAAAAAAAAAATATTTATTGATTTATTTGATTATTAGATGTCTTTTTGTGATCAGTCGACGAACTCCTAATGAACAAGCATCGACAATTGTATCAGAATTAAATGCAGAACCAACAATATTACCACTATCGAATAGTTTACCTACACAAGTTGTTGATATAGCTTGTTTAATTCAAACACCTCATTCGTGTACTGATGCTTTCTATGCATCTCACAATGATATATCTTGTACTAACTCTCACTCATCAATTGATAATCAAAAAGTGATCGACAGAATAATCAAATAATTTGTTCTATACTTCTATTTTTCTATCTATGTATTCGTCAAAATTGACAATAAACAAATACATTATTAAATTGAATAAAAAAAATCATTTTGTCTTTTTCTTTCCAAAAGTAAGAATATTCATAATATCGATACATTTTAATGATATAACTGTGTTTAAGTACAAATCTTAAGATTTCAGCGTCAACAAATATAATGCGTTAATATAATTGGTTCTTGTGTTGTAATAAAAATAATTATAAACGGTCTCATTCCAAAATGATTGATGCATCCATAGATATGATATCTCATTGTTTTTAGAAAACCTCACGTTAAAATATAGCAATTAACTAATTTACAATTAATTTGGTGTCGAATGATATTTTATCATCAAAGATGAAGACTGAGGAATAAAAAAACGTAGTCTATTCTTTTGTTAAAAATAAAGAAGAGATTTAATGGAATCATCGGCCTGTATGTACGTTTTGTAGCAATCAATTCAAAATATTATTACGAATATTATTCATGAAACTGACGAAATTAATTAAAATGTTGTTTAGCTCAGTATTTTTATGCACTTCATATAAATTTTAAAATAATAAACATTTTGAATGTGAGTAGATGACAATACTAAAACTTAATACTCAGAACAAAAGGAAAGTATTGGATAGACTATGTATATTCTACTGGACGAATAGATGACATACAGTAGTATTTAATAGTATATATATAAGAAATAGATATTTTTTCAATTTTGTGTATCACTTCAATAGAAAAATGAAGATCTTTTTTTCACACTATGAAACAATAAGATATATGAAATACAGAAAAAAGAACAAATGTATTCTTTTGTATTTATTCAACAGTTCTTTCTAATAAACGTGATTTTTTTCACGGTTGTCATTTGTATAAAATCTTAACCGAGTATATTGTTAAATTTCATCTACTGTGAGACACTAAACAAAAATAGGTATTAAAAAAAATTGAAATTCATCAATTTAGCGATTTTGGATTAAAAATATTTTTCTCTTGTGCCGTAATAGTGAAATAAATGAAATTGTAGAACGAAAAAAGCTCTACAAAACTCAATAAAACAATAATTATTATCCTATTCTGATAGTAACTAATCAAAGACCATTTTCGTATAATATTTTAATATTCTTGAAATTGAATAAAAATCAATCTGTTTTTCTAAATGGATAGGTCAATAAAGCCCGTCAGGATCCTTTACAGAGTTCTTACGATATAGATACCATAGCAAATACTCTGTCACAAGTAATTTCCCAACTACTAACTTCTTGTTTGTACGTAACGTAGTACTTAGTGTGTTATTTCTAAATAATTCAATATGGATGAAGCACTTTGATAAGTCTTCAGTTATAATAGTAAAGTAATATACACTTGTTTATGAATTTTCTGAACTACTCACTAGCAAGTGCATGGTGTCTTACTAGGTAGAAAAATTGTCAAAGAAGTTTCATCGTAATCAATGAATTCAGCATAAACTTGATTATTTTATTAATGGTTCTTATATTTTGCATAACAACATCATGTTTCAGAAAAAGTATGATATACATAGTTTGCAATCCCATTTTTTTCAGTTCGATCATATAGATGAGTTCAATCTACTTCAGCGATTATCAAGCAGGTTGTTATCCTGTAATACATACATAGAAAAGCATATATTTTCATTGAATATGTTTGAAACATTTATATAGTTATGATTTGACTGGAAGAAAATATTAGATTCATAATCTGACTTGATAATGATCAATTTACGTTTCTGCACTTCATCTCCTATTGCAGTTCCTGTTTATTTTTCTGCTGTACACTCATAGTTTGAGTATTTCTTAATCATTTATTGAATTCAATATGAAAATGAATACACGGAAAACAAAGATTATTTCATACATGTCCAATTTTATTTTTTCAATAATAAATTATTCATTGTCATATAATCAATAAGGCTACGTGCATATTTGAGAGCGTTCACGAGTTTATAAGGCACACTATGTATGCTGTATGGTAGTTCAGTCTTCATCACATTTATTTTCCAAACAGAATTGCTTGTTATATAACCACCTTCATAGAAAGTAACACTTTCTGGTTGCGCATGTGCCATTGATACATAGGTGATGCCAAGTCCATTATTTTCAAGGATCGTACCCAATGATATTTGTCCTCGAATGCATTTAGCTCAATTGACATTATCGTAGCGAGTTTTGTTTAAAGATCATCTCTATGGAGTTCATAACCATCTAAAAGGTATTCAATCATTGTATAGCTAAAGAAATAAAGTCATGTATTGTTTTGCTTTGGGAGGATCTCTTTTATAACTCACTTTTCTTCACCGTGACCATGCATATCAACAAGAAGACCTTTGTCATGTAGTTGTTTTACTTGATCCATGGCATATTGAAGATTTGTGTGGTAACTTTGATAAGCAGTAATAGTTTTAGGATAGTTGAGTGTTGCTTGATTGATTTCTCGATTGAAGTCAACCTTTTTTCGATGTCATTTGCCAATGACAACGAATGGTTCTAAACCATATGTGTTATTCAATGCTGCGGCGACATTCTCCATAAATTGATCGCTAAGAGTATCTTGAACTATCGTTGTTTCACAAGGATCACCATCAAGACATGTATCGTTGTACGTATATGTGCAATATGGTCCTGGACGACGACAACCTCCTTGTGTTCGATTGGGCATATCAGTCGGCGTTAGACTACCACCACAAGGTGCGAAAAGAATAAGATTGAAAGTATCTGCTAGATGAAACTGGCAAGATGAGTTATAGCTATTGACATATTGTAACAGTTCTTGTTGAGCCATATAGAAGGAAAACGAAGTGAGCATAAAATATGTGACAACAAGTGCCAACAGTATGGTAACTAGTTGCAATCAATAAAACCAGTCAATAATCTTTTGTATTTTCATGCTACATGATGAGAAACACTCAATTGCTTCTCGTCATAACTAATCTTTGTTAATATTTTTGAAGTTATTATTCTCATATGACGAAAATGAAAAGTAATTTTCATTCTTATCATGGCACCGAAGAAAACAAAAACTAGTGACGAGGCCTACGTTGCTGCAGGCAATGATAATAAAAGCTTGATGAAATTTGCTTGAATGATAGTAATTTGTGAAAATAATTGACCAGAGTTCTGTGTGAGATGCGATGAATTTTTGGTCTGATGGATTTCTCAAAAATGTGATGAAGATATCTTGGAGCTTTTACGTTAGTGCTCTATCAAGTAAGATAAGAGAATAAATAGTTATTCCATACTCTTCTATCACTTCTCTAACTGCTTAGTTTATTGTTAGTCTTCGTCAGCTACGAACGATATTCATTTCTTTGCAATCTTATCAACACTGCTCATGAAAAATCCTCTGAAGAGAATGTAATTTCAAAAAGATTTACATTTACTCGCTGTATTCGTACGAAATCTTGTGTATCTTCAACCAGAATAATACTGTCATGTGTTAATGTTGTTTATATACCCATCAAACAAAGAAGTTTCAGTTATGTTTATCCAACTATGTATGTAAAATAACTCATGATCAAATATTACTGTGCTGTCGATGTGCAATGTAGCTTGTATTAGGCCTCACTTCATATCTGGACTTGAAACTCCGTTTCGTAATTCATCCAAGTTTGACTTCTGGTTCCCTTATCGCAGGTTCGGATCCAAATACAGTGTCCTTGGTTGACGCACTTCAGAACGAGGGCTTTGACCAGGTCTGGGTACCGCTCAAGTTCTTGAACTAGTCTGAATATCCCTGTAGGTTTCAGTTAAGATCACTGAAGCTGCGTAGAATTCAATCGTTGCCGAATTATCTATTACAGCTGGATGTTTCGCTTGTAGACTTTATCCTGGTTACGACCTCATTCCTTGCTACAGTCTTGACTAGGACAGTACCAGTAGTCTCTAAGAAACTTGATTGATTAGTGATGAAACAAAATTAAGTTTGCCAATAAAAGAAAAGATGATCATACATGCATATTGTTGGCTTAAAAAGCTTTCAGTTGGTTTTTTTTCTAACACAGTATATAGACCCAGAATAAAGGCATCTAGCAAAGAGATAAACACAAATGTACGTCACGCGAAGAACAATATAGAATAAAACATGAGAAATATACAAGATAATAGGCCACTAATAATCATGTTTAAAATAGCAAAAATAATATACGAATGAGTTTATGAGAAGTTTTAAGTTTCCAGTAAGGCTCAAGAAATTTAATCTTGAAAAAATATTGTTGATGAAAGATAAATTAAAAAGCTTAAAAGATGACATTCACAAGAAATGTTCAATATCAAATGATTTACAAGATAAATAATTTTTTTACTAAGAATAGTCTTTCAAAAGAGAAACAACAAAGATAATTTATGTATCTAGAAGCAAAGATTCTAATATATTTAATAAAAAAAATATCGTGTATCAATATGAATGAACCGATATGAACTTCAATAAACTTCATGACAATTTGAAAAACGAAAGAAAAGTATTGAAAACGATACGTAAAGTTTAATAATTATTTTTTGAAATAACGAAGAAAATGAAAAACTCGCACAGTTCATTAGAGATATTAATTTGTTGCTGCTTCATATAACATCATGATTGAAAATATTCGGATTCTTATTTAATATGGTTCACCAACAGGAAAGATAAAATATACATTTAGACATCATAACTACGTTCGAAAATATTTGACCATAAAATTATTGTGTAGCTCTTTAATATAATTAGTTCAGTTTTTCTCTAAGTCTGTTTTTTTATTTATTTCATTTTATTTTCGAAATTAGGTCAAGACATTATTATCATTAAAACAGTTATCTGTTGTTAATTCGTTTTGCCTGCCTATGTGACATATGAATATGGTCATATGCATATGTAATGACGAGATAAGAAAGAAGGAAAAAGTTTTCGTTTTCATCAAAAAAGAAGGGATTGATAGATTTCGTTTTAGAACCATCGTAATTACCTAGAATAAAAATTTTCTTATGACTCTAATAAAAGTAACAAACAACTTTGGTACAGTGATCAATTGGTCTTGTTTCTTGTTAATAATCTGACCTTAATTGTCCTACTATGAAATCCAAGTTTTTTAAATATTTAGTGTCAATTTTTGAGACCATAATATCTAGATAAAGCTTGTTTCTCTACATGAAACAACCTGTCTCTTATCGGTCTGTCTCAGCACGTGATGGCTAATTATAGCTCGTATTCTCGGTGTATACGAGAAGCTATTATTAAAAAAAACGAGAACTTGATCTGAATACGCGGAGTCAAACGAAGAGAAGACACTCACATGCATATCTATCGATACTTCACTAGATTCTTTGTAATCTTTGAGGTAGATAGTGTACAGATTATTTACCATGTTTATGACTTCATTGCTTAGTGCTTGATAGCCACTTGAAGGAGAATCTCTTTAGTCGATTATCGGAAGTTTTCTTCAAAATTTTTGGATAATAGTATCTTATGGTTACTATGAAATTAGTAATTTCCTTATAAATTTTGAATTGTAGTGATTCATAGTAGAAGAGATACATTTCTATATAATTCTTCAATCATTAGCAATTGATTTGACTACTTAAGTATAATCGAAAGGGGTCTTGCTAGCTTTTGATCGATTTAATATCATTCTATAAACACACTCTCATGTAAGTTCTACAGACTGGAGAGGACTTGATTAACAGACAACTGTGTTATCATAGAACTATGGATAAAAATAGAAATTTAAATTGCTTTTGATTCTTCACTTGCACGTTCTGTGCACCAAGTCAGTAGAGTGTGCTCTTATCATCATTCATCCTCTCACGACGTGCCACTCCACACGCGTGACACGCGTCATATCGAACGCAAAAGAATCGCTTTTTTTCTTGCGCCTGAAGAGGTCTGATTTTTTTCTCGAGCGCATTTGGCTACAAAAAAAAGGAGGACGAATGTTTTGATGCTATGCTCGTTCTCTTTTCATAGATTATCAACGTGACAATATGATCAACGAACTCCAATGCATGTGCCGATTGAGTTTAAAATAATTTCATTATGATCGTATTTTTTCTTGTTTCTAAAAGTTGAACTATTGCTAATAGAACTGTCTCGACGCGTGATTGCTTGAATTTTTTTCACAAACAGCATGCGTCTACCCGTCATGTGATTTCAACAGTCGGATATCGATAAGACATTGTAAAGCTTCACTCATTGTATATACATGAACTTTTCTTTTTCTAGATATCAGTGAGAAAAATGATGAACAAATTGAAAATCGAGCGTCGAACATCAAATACCAGCAATACTCTCATCAATAACAATCGTGCAGAAATAACCGATGTTCTTATTGCCGGAGCAGGAATCAGTGGTCTTGTCGCTGGTCTTTGCTTGCATCGTGCTGGTTTCTCCGTTCGCATTCATGAACGTGCTCAAAAGCTTGAAGAAACAGGTTTTGGTGTGAATCTTCAACCGTATTGTGTCAAATTATTGTACGAGCTCGGACTCGAATCCGAAATGAATGAAGCCGGCATTTGTAATAATAAAGCGGTCTTCTATTCAAGCCATGGTCAGTTTGTTTATCAAGATCCAAGAGGCCTCGATGCAGGTTACAAATGGCCGATGTACTCGTTGCATCGAGGTCGCTTTCAACAACTTCTACTTCGTCATGTACATGAAGAAATGGGAGCAGAAGTGGTTCGTCTCGGCCAAAAGTTAGTCACATTTCGATTACAACCGCATCATGTTGAAGTCGATTTTATGAATTCAATTACCGGTGATATTGATACAGAAAGAGCTAAAGTGCTGTTAGCTGCTGATGGGATCAATTCAACTGTACGTAAAATTCTTTATCCCGATGAAGGTCCTCCTCTTTGGCAAGGTATCACTATGTGGCGTGGTGTCACACGCATGGATAAGCTCTATTTGGATGGAAGAACTATGATTTTTGCCGGAAATCCGGATGATCGTCAGTTGATCGTCTATCCTGTAAGTGAACAGCTCGTTAATTGGGCTTTCACGGTTCGAATTCAAGAACCAGGCGTACGACCAGCGCCAGTGGCAACTGATTGGCATCATCTCGGTCACATTGAAGATGTTCTTCCTTTATTATGGAACATAAAATTGGACTTTTTAGACATTGATAATCTCGTAAATTCATCGATTATCGTCAATCAGTTTCATGTCACCGATCGCAATCCATTACCTCGTTGGACATATGATCGTGTTACTTTGATTGGTGATGCTGCTCATCCGATGAGTCCCTATGGAGGCAATGGAGCTTCTCAAGCTATTATCGATGCCCGCGATCTTCTTTTGGCCTTCCGTACACATGGGATCACACCAACAGGTCTGGAAAAATACGATCAACTACGACGAACAGTCTCACAGTCTTACATTTTAGCTGCTCGCGAGTTTGGTCCAGAGAAAATTTTGAAAATAGTCGCTGAACGATCTCCATTCGGATTTCAAAATTTGTCGGAAGTAATATCGTCAGAAGAAATCGACGAGACATTCTCAGTGTACAGAAAACAAGTCAATTGGAATGCTGAAAAATTGAATCAAGAACCAGCGCTCTTTTGAATCATCTCCTACTTATAAATATTGAAACTTCGTCAATCTCTCTCATATGTCCGTATTATCTTCTTCTCGGTGCCCCTTGTGACATTATCTACACAACTTTGTTTGTGTTTAATTATATAGTGCAACAGATTAGATATTTTCGATGATCATTTGGAATTTTCCTGGCCTTCAAACTTCGCTTCTATTTATCAGCCCATGAACAAAAATATGACTTTTGTAAATAAAGGGAATCAGAACTCTTCTACTTATAGACACTATCGTCCCAGGTACGAAATACCATGTCGAAAAGTCATCCAAAATCCTGTAACGAACCCATGATATATGAGAAGTGTGCGTGTGAATGGTTATCTTGTCCTCACATCCACACTCTATAAGCAATTTTACAAATTTGGGCTTTAGTGATGTTCTCATTAATCACGAATACTCCAGCAGACATTGTGTATAATCGGTTCTTATTCAATAACATTTTTCTTCGACATATATTGACTATCACTTTCTTTGAATTTGTTTCGAAATAATTTCATTTTCAGTCAGTCAGACGATGTTACATATGCTTTCCTTATTCTTTTTAGAAGTCTAATATTTTAATTTCATGAAAGGTATGAATCATTTTAAATAATTGAAACATAGTTTCAGATGTCTTTGATTGAGCTTGAACTTATGTATACCAGCTCGTTTTAGACTACTAGTCAGTACGGAGGACGAAAATGAGTATGTTTTAACATGATACAATGATTTATTTATTTAATTATATTGAATTTTTATCGTGATAAACACATGACAGAATATGATAAAAAGTTTCATTTTTTTTCGTCATTAACTACCTTTTGTTTTAAGAAAAAGTCTTTTTAAGGCTTTCAATCTATTTATTTTAATGACCACATAATTATATTACAGTGTTGCCATAATCTATTACGTAATGCTTTATCAATTGTTGCTTAGAAACTTGTTTTTTCATTTACATGGACATAATACATATGAAAAGGAAAAAAATCAAATTGAAGATTGAGATTATTAAATTACAAAACCATAATCCATTAATTTTATCACGAATATATTTCATCATTTTCATCTCAATCTCTCTCTCTCTAATCGACTTGATTTTTTCTCGGTATAGCAATAAAACAATAAAAAATGTTCATCTGCTTATAATATAGACGAACAGATTTTTCACATATGACCACATTCAAAGAATTATATGCTTTTCTTTTATTAAACTAATTAGTTGATTATTATTATCTGACATGAGCAGAAGTAAATGAAACAAGAGCAGATTGTGGATAAGCTCATTCATAGGAAAACAATCAATGGTATAGAAAGCTACAGCCTTAGGAAATGTACTTTTCCCCGCATAATGTCGAGAACAATAATTGAAAATAAGAGCTGATATTAGAGATATAAAAGAAATTTTTTTTCAGTAGTAATAAATAAAAACTAGAGGTTATATTACATAGATAAAAAATATCGACAAAAGTTTTTTTTACCTTGAACGCTAACATTCCTCAACAAATTATATCTCTTATCTGAATTTGCCCTCAGCATTGAATTATTATATTTCTTTAACGAAATAAATTTTGATTTGAGTTACACAAAGAATACATATGAGCGATTTTATTCGTTTGTTTTTCATCGATATATCTCGTTTTAGCACCATTGGTAGGACAATAAGATAGTTAAAGAAGAGTTGACATATGATACCAAGTCGTATCTTCATTGTACCCATTTTTTTATGGCAGAATCTTACAGACCAGAAATAATAAACACGTTTTATTAAAAAAATAGAAGTATGCCTACACAAACATTTATGTTTATATATACGACTGAAATAGTTAAAATACGATAAAAAAAAAAATATGAAAATTGATATGATTGAATAATAAATACATAAAAATAGATGTGATTGCACCATTTATACGTCTCTTAAACAATTTTATATCTATTTTAGAATTTTAGATCTCTACGTGGACTAGATAAGACGTCAACGAAGTAAATTTTTTGATGATTATAATGATAGCAAAATAAAAAAAATACGAAATGAAAATTACAATTAATGAGTTATTTGAATATATTCTTTAATCTAAATTTTCTTTTCTTTTTACCGTTTATCAAGAAAACCAATCACATATTTTGCAGATTTTTCTAATGAACTTATTTATGAAGTATTTGAATTTCTCGATTATTTTCATATATATGAAGTTTTCGTAATCCTCTTATAAATTCAACTCTTCCATTAATATTAATATTTCATCCATATCTGAATCAGCTTATCAACAATAGTATATAGATATTATCAGAACCAGTGCCTATCGAATGAATTCACTTCGATTATCAAACTTATTCATTTATAGTCTTGCGTCTTCATCAATTCGAATTCTATCGAAAAATCCCACAACCACACTCACATCCTCGTTTTCAAATTCAAGATGAAAAAGAAATTATTCGTTGCATGAATTATTTTTTAAATGCTACTAAATTTACTTTCGGAGCTGATTTTTCTATTACTCATAGTTCAATTTCAAACATTCTCAGTCATATTATTCCTTTGGAATAACTGTCTATACTAATTTTTAAATGTTATCATTTCTCTTTAAAAAAACTAATCGAATCTTTTTATAAAAATGATTATATGTCAATTCAACTACAAATAAGATTACAAATGTGACTTTTGAAGATGTTCGTACATTCGAAAGAATTAGAATGTTTCTTGCTTTATGTCCTCGACAACAATATCTTACAATAAAAACGTACATTAATGGTTTAGAACCAATAACACAATTTCTATTGGAAAATACGAAAGAGAATACGCGTCATTTGCGCTTATTATATTAAAACTCATCTGTTCAAAATTACATCTATGGTAGTAATTCTTGCGTGTATCAACGAAATATCGTTTTCAATTCATTGACAATAAATAAGAAATTCAATGGTTATCAAACAATTTTAAAATTCAACTCAATCGAAAGTGTTTTCAATTTTTTCTTTCAAAACTATATGATATACGTTTGTTTTATCTGTAATAGATATATAACAATTAAGAACCCTCATGAGTGTTTCATGCAATTTCACTTCGTCAAGTCAAAATTTAGCATCTTAATTCTTGAAAAATATCTTCAAAGTGATTAGAACTATCATATTCATTAATTGCTCAAGTGGGCGGTAGAAATGACATGATGTCTAAGAGAAGAATCTTTATTGTAAGACATCGACTCATCTACTATAGTAAAAATAAAGAGTGATTGCTTATCAATGATTAAAAATTTCATATATTTTGTAATAATAGACAAGAGAAATGCAGACAGATCAAAACGATTTATAAAGTGATGTAGACTTTATCGATGTCCTCAAATGAAAACAGTATTTCTCTTGATTCCGCTCGATTTTGAACCTCGTGAACCAACTATTTCATCTTTTGATTATTTTCTTAGCATATCATAAAACCATTCTTTACTTTCATTTGAGTGCCATATTCTGTATAAAATTAATAATAGCTATAGACTGACAAGGTATAGAAATCAGCCTCAGTTTCATGTAAAAACAAATGCAAAACATGAGACGAGAAAAATGAACTCCTGTCCTTAGTAGAAGATCTTGAGTGTTCTATTGTGTTTTATTTATTCTCATAAATTTTACTTAAAAGCACTTTCCAAGTCATAACAATCATTTGATAGAATCGGAAGAAGATTTTTAAATTTTAAAAAGCTTACAATTAACATTGACTACAGTCTTCTACTATATCTGATGCATTATTCCTTCTAAGAATATTGTCTTTTATGGAAAGCGTCGTTGATTTAAGTAATCGAAATTTCTCAATACCTTTTTGTGTCAAAAATATGTGTTAGTAAACAAATGGCAACATATTTCATAAAAGAAACAAAAAAATTTCGTAATTTTATTACTGTTCTTTCGTAATGTTTATTATATCTATGTATACTGAAGCTTTCTCTTCTATTATTTTCTTATACGTTTATAGTAGAATATAGTTTATTTCTAGTCTTCTAATTGTATTATCAAGTTTCTATAGATTTGATAAGTTTTGTCGTCATCAATTTCTCACTGTTCAACACATGAGAAACTACCGAAACTTATTTGAACTTATCAATTGGTAGCATATAATACATTTTAACTTTATCAAAAGAGAGTTGTAGATCTAAAAACTCAATCTTCACTCTCATCTAATTGCCAGCTCTATGTATTGTTGCTCACCTTCACCTTTAGCTATGTATCTACTTTCAGTTTACTTAGTAGCTTCTATAAAACTTTCTGTTTAGTTGATTATAAAAGCACGACCATAGAATGTGGTTTTAATAGTATATATCTAAAGCAGTCAGTTCAATGTTAAACTCTTTTCAACGATGATATTCTAAAATTCGTTATAAAACTTTCATATTTGTCTTTTTTTTTTTAAATAAAAATTTTGAAAAATGATCATTCAAAAAAAGTTCAGTCTTGATTGTATAAACAACAAATTTCACAAGCATGTAGATATCACCTTTCTCGAGGTATAAATTCTGAAATTGATAATAATTAATGTTCATTTATGTATTAGAACAGTCAAAATATGGCGTCAGATAATGATTATGATATATTTGATTATAATTCAAATCAAGATTCTTTTGACATCGATTATCAAATTGATCTATTTGAGCTTGGTCAATGTTTAAAATCGAGAAAAAGTAAACGAAAACTCAAGAAGTCTTCACATTCAATCTCATTGAAAGCTCTCAAATCCCAACCAAAACCAGTTAAAGTGAGTTGTATGAATGATAAAATAACATATAAAACTGAACGAAAGCCATTTCATTGTGAGCGTTTTTCGAAAAAGTCAAAGATTTTCGAATGTGATAAAAAATTTCATGTAAAATCAACAATTCTATCTAATCACATATCAACATATTCATCAAAACAATCAATCAATTTTTTCAATCAAATGTGCCATCGAACCCCTCGAAAATACTTGCAGCTAAATACTTACAAAGTTTTTCAAACTTTCGTCGTCATTTCCATCTTATTGATCATCAAAAAATAAAGTTGTCTTCTCAAGATCATCCTAATATTGGTATAAGTGATATTCGTCTTGCACCAATAGACCAATCTGTTCAAAAAGATTTTATGAAAACGTTAAATGAAAATATTTCTTATTCACCAGATTTAATTTATCATGGTACAAAATCAGATAATATCAAAAGTATTCTTCGTTATGGGTTTTTGATACCAAGTCAAGCTCATCCATCTGATAGCTGAGCACCTATTATTGCTTCAGCAAATGGTCAAGCGTTTGGTAGTGGAATTTATTCAAGTCATTCAGCTGTTTTTTCATTAACATATGTCAATGCTACCAATACTTTTAGTATGTGCAGCGATACCAAAACGGGATAGTGTTGGAAATATTAAACGATCTCATAGAAGTATATTAGTTGTATCCCATGGATCATAAATTATACCATTGTTTCTAATTGATTTTAAATATCTAAACATATCATATGTGAATTAGCCTTCCTTTAATGAAGTAAAGTAATCTAAGATGTATAACAAGAATGAAATAAACAAAAACCCTAATATTATTTCAAGAAAATAATGACAAAAACTGTTAAATTGCATGAATGATGAAATACGAAGGAACAATCAATATCAGATGCGATCATTTTGAATTCTTTAATTGATGCAATTTTTATTGTTCGAAATAAAAATGAAAATTCATAATTGATCTTGAAAGATGAAGAAATTAACAATAAAAATTACAAATTACAGTTTAACAGAAATGCACATGTCACACAAAATATGTTTATTGGTATTGTACAGATTTATATCTCTCGACTTGAGCAAACCTATAACATGTACTCCGAAGTTACGAGTATGATTGGTTATTGTATCAGCACCGAATTTACACGCTCTTCTTATTAAAAATATTTTTTCTTCTTCTATGTTTTTATCTTCCATTATTTTAATGATTGTTTTCTCTCAATATAATGCCATATATTTATAATGAACTGTTTAAATTGCCTTCTGAAAGGAAAATCAAATTCTATACTAACATTATGGTATGTAGCGATAAAATTTCTATCACACAATGATGTTCAGATGATTTCGATACAAATTTTTTCATGTAAAAGATAAAATCTATAGTTATCCGATGGTTTTTACATGATTCTAACATGTTATATGTTTGTAGTCTGTTTCATGCTAGAATGATCTACATTGTTGCAAGTTGTGAATCGGCTTCATACTGATAGATTAGAACAAAATCTTATTTTCATCATAAAAATTATTATTTATAGGAATTGAATATCTAAGGTGTGGCGTGAGTGTGGACTTTCCTTCACTAAGTGACCTACCCACATCCCACACTCTGATACTCTATCCAGAAGATGAAGAAAATGAGACATTTAAGTTGCACCTGTAAATTGCAAACTTCTAACTGTGTATTTATTCCTGTGAGTCATGTTCTTTAGATGTGCAGCTACCAGATCTATTCATTATTTTTCTCATGCTGGACTTCTGAAATATTCTGTAAGCTTTGGTCGAGTAAATATAATTATATCACGTATATGGCCCATAAGACGAAAAATTGTTCAAAGGAGAAAAAGTAAATCGATAGAGACTAGCTGCAATCTCATGATGACGACGAACAGTTTGGCTTGAGCTATTACCCATTTTCATAAATGAAATTCGCTTTTTATTTTATCTTATCATCCATCATCTGTCGCAAACGTAGATAAAAATATGTTCAACAATTAACACTCCATGGTGTGCCATGCAAAACAAGTCTTTTGTTGACAAGTTTACTTTAATGACATCGAGTATTTATTAATGAAATATCTATTATTTGTTACAGTAGCTGATAATATTTTCCATTGAATTTATATTCACATACGGTGTGAGAAAAACATTGCTTGACATTACCAATTGCGTGTAGACATTCAAAAATATGAATCTTGCGCGTTGTAGACAAATATCTATTTCTTTTGTCTTCAGGCTATGAATGTGTCGTTGTGAGAGTGAACAGAAAATCCTCACGCATCATGCCACACCTTCACCTTCAGGTTTCGACCTCTCGAGTCAATGTACGTAATGCATAATGATGTCCATTATTTGATCTACGTAGTTGTACGATGATATCTCGATAGGCATACAACAAGTTTTAGCGAATATACTCGTGTTTGTACAGCAAACAGTTGCTCATTATTGCAATTCTTTCGGAAGTTTTTTTATCTCAACTCAGATAATTAATAGATTTTTTACGTACAGTTTTCTGATATTCAGTGAATGATGAACTAATCTAGAGGGAGAACAAAGAAACTAGTAAAATTAACTTTGAACTTTTCATGAGAGAAAGGAGCCTAGAGGAACACTTGATGTAGCCAATAATGACACTTGCTTTGATCTCAATCACGTAAACTATGTAGCGCTACATAAGATAAAAGAATTTAATACAGCGCATAGCATTTTCGAGTATTATCATCTAATATTCGATTACAGAACTTGATACTGATATTTTGCTGATTGAAATTCTTTTGAGATAGGATCCATGATGACAAAATGTTGTTTACTTTCGAATATTTCATCAGTCATATGCGAATCAACTTGTAGTTTTATTGATTTAGTCTTTAAGTTCCTTTAAAACATTTTCACATAAAATGATACACTTAAGCAAGGCTACAATATGCCGAGCTCAACTGCGAATGACAGGAAGTAACAGAAATTACAACTTCATGCTATGTTGCTTTCATATCACAGCACTGAAATTGATGATTGTTTTATGGAAGCGATTACTGTCTCATTGATCCAAAATTGTTTCATGTGATTGTCTCATGTTTCATCTACTAAGCCAAATTTGTTGGAACTATTCGTTGTCGCTGGATGATACAATCACTAGCGATTGTGACTAATTGAAAGTGCCTTTTGATAGTAAGAAAGAGTTTTTAGAGTCTATTATAAGATCATATTCAAAATCAATAGTACGCTTGGCAGTCAACAATAACCGACAATTAAGTGGTACCGAATTTCGCATGATTTTAAGCAATTTCTCTAAATATAAAAGCGTCTTCTTATACTTTCCTGTTGAATTATGCATCAAACCATCCTTAAACATGAACGACTATCAGTTCTTAGCAATACAGTGAAACAAGCTTCTTTGGACTTTCAGAAACTTTTCTTTTATATCTGAAGAGCTTATTTGCAGTTCTCATCAATGATGCGTGCACGAACTGACGTGGTCGTTGATGATAAACATGTTTAAATGATAAAATGCAAGATTTTGTTGCAGGGTTCAAATAATTTTCTCACAGCACAAAAGTTCCGTCCAATATTCATCCATTTTTCAATCGACAGTACTAATTTTTCAGTGGTGTCAATCAATGATGGATAATTAGTTGGTTGGAGTTTCAGCTAGATTTCGAATGCTTTTTAACAGCAACTTTTTTGTAAATTTGGTTTTTAAAATTATTTGAGAAAGATTTATCCTGGCTGTATAGGATTCAGCCTCATGAAACATTTTTCATGACTTTACTTATTGATGTTGATCTTGTGATAGAAAAGTCAAATAAAGAGAAAAATATTAAATAATATCTTTTAACGCATAGCCGTATGACTTAACTAGTACTCAATGACTGCACTTAAAATATGAAGGAAAAACTTTTCGTGCGTCACAATAATTTTTTTATCTCTAATGTCATATTGAAAGAAAATAAATATGAACATACCATTAGATAGTGGAGACATTGTTAGATATCTTATTTTGGCATCATTTTTCTATCACCTTTCATTTCAAAGCACAACACAAAAATACAATTCCTTTTACAGACTGATTCCCATTTTTTTGTCTGTTCACAATGGGGAGTTTACTGATTAGCCACCGTTAAACTTCTCTCAAAGTGTTCACATATCATGTTTGATCCTATGGATGCGGAAAAATTACACTTTATAGCTAATTATTGAAGTTCGGTTGAAGAACTCTTTGTAAGCATCCGAAGTGATCAAATGAAGGGCGACGTAATATCACCGAATAACGTCAGTCTTGTTTTGTATGTCGTATTTGAGAAATTTCTTTAAAGGAATGTGACCTGCTATGTTAGTTAAGGTGGCTAATAGCTAGCAAATGCATTATAAATAAACAACAAAACAATTTCATTCCTTCGTTTTTTTCATTTTTCTAAAGCAAATAGGCAGTTACGTTGATAGCATTCTGACAATAGTCATTCTTCATACATCATTATCTTAAATGTCGACTGCCATTGCACTTAATGAAATAACAGTGCAATTTACACGATTTACGCCTCTAATAATATTCTTTCTTGGTCTCATTGGAAATATTTTTAACATAATTATATTTACTCGTCGGTCACTTATCAGCAATCCGTGCACTATCTATTTGCTGAGTGCAACTTTTTCGAATGTAAGTGTATTATTGTTTGGATCGCTCATTCGTTCAATGATGGATGGCTTCGGCATTGATATGATTGGTAACAATTTGGCTTTATGTCGCATTCGTTATATGATTCTTCATCCATCTCTGACACTTTCGACATGGTTCCTTGTTTTAGCCAGTGTCGATCGTTTCTGCATTACTTCTTACAATAGAAAAGTTCGTAGTTTCAACAATTTGTCAACAGCACATCGTTCAGCGATCGTAGCAACTTGTCTTTGTTTGATTGTCTATAGTCATGTTCTTGGTTTCTTTGAAATAGAACAACGTACATCGGGTCCTTATTGTTATGCTCGAGTTGGAACATATCGACTCTTCTACGATTTTCTTTTCTTTGCATCATTCAGCTTTTTACCACCTATACTAATGATAATTATCGGACTCGCCACGTTGCATAATCTTCGCCAAGTGCGTGCTCGAAGCATTTCGGCCACATCCATCGACAGCACGACAGCGTCCCCAAATCAATTGCACAAAAAAGATCGACAGTTACTTGTGATGCTTTCCATTCAATTGATCGTCACAATTATATGTACATTGCCTCATGCTATTCAAAAACTCTACGCAACATTCACAGTCGATTTCGATAAAAGTCTTTACCAATCAGCTGTTGACAATTTGATTTCTCAAATTACGCGACAACTCTTATATATTGATTGTAGCATCAGTTTTTATCTGTAAGTCTTGATTTTTTATTGCCAAAATAATCGTCTGAAATATGTATTTCTTAGGTATAACATGGTATCGACAAGTACATTTCGTAAAGAATTCATTCAGCTGATCAATAAGACTATTATGTGCGTGCTCGGTAATAATGTCC